ACAGACAGACATGGAGAATCCATACTCATTTATCTTTCCATTTGTCAATATCGTCATCTCGAATCATAAATGTGTTTATATTGTTTTCCAGTGGCCAGAAATAGAGTCCGAAGGGGAGCAATACTGGGACCTTCCAAAAGAACCATCCGCTTTGAAACCACAATCGACGGGAAGCGACCTTGAAGGTGACGTCAGCTTAGGGTCAGATTTCACGCAACCAAAGAACAGGCTACCTTTCGTACTCGACGAGAACTTGCTGTTGAGGCTGAGAAACGAACTTGCAGCCCTCCGAGACCATCAGCTGGCAGCGTCAGACCAACAGGGGTCGGGTATGGAGAAAAAGTTCAAGCCGAGCGGGTTTATGGGCAGCAGAGGCAAGCGGTTTATGCCAGGACTTGAGTCTCTCCTTCTGGCCAAATATTATCAAGGTAACTGATCTTTTCTTCTTTATAAGAAATGCCTCTTTTGGAATAGTCGAGGATTTTTAAAAAAAAATGATGTTGCTGTTTCTGCTGTTGTTCGCCTTCCTCATTTTCATCTTACGCCTCCACTTATTAATCCTCCTTCTCCTCCTGTTCCCCCTCCTCTTCGCCCTACTCTTCCTCCCCGCCCCTTCCTCTCCTCCTTTTTCCTTCCCTCCCCCCTCCCCCCCCCCTCTCTCTCTCTCTCTCTCTCTCTTTATCTCTCTCTCTCTCTCTGCCTTCCTGCTTGTGTGTACGGGCGCCACGGTGTGTGTGTGTGTGTGTGTGTGTGTGTGTGTGTGTGTGTATGTGTGTGTGTGTGTGTGTGTGTGTGTGTGTGTGTGTGTGTGTGTGTGTGTGTGTTATGTGTGTGTGTGAGCGCGCGTATATGTGAGTGTAGGGAGTTCATTCCTTTTCAAGAATAGACTAACCCCAGAAAGACAGGACCGGCAGTAATAACCATCATCAGAAGCGTTGGTACAGAAAACAATAAAAAGAAGTCAAAAGTGCTATCGTATACAATTTTCAAGAACTTGCTGAACATCTACGTATCTCGATAATAAAAATATCCCCGTCTTCGGTACGACAAAATGAGCTACTTATCTTGAGGATCTTGATACAACATATTTGCAATGTTCTCAAGTGATCCAACCTGTTACAACTCCGTATAGTTCGTTTAGATATGAATAAAGTAAAGTAAAGTTGTTCCCGCATCCGGACATTGAGGATTGTCTTGTTAGTGAGACACTTTTCTGGACCTCCGGCATATTGTGGAATGGTGGCCAGTTTCTTTCCACACCGCCTTTACTTCCCCAACTCAAAGTCAAGTACCCATTACTGCAGGGTGGGTAGGGGGGGGGGCGATAAAAATCCGTGTCCGAAACGAGGCTCGAACCCGGACTTTCCGCTTCGGAGACGAGCTTACAAACTGCTCCACCACCGCACCCTCAAAGCTATTAGTGATATGTGGTATTTGAACCTAAAAAGTCATTTAAAAAGCATACGACTGTTTTCTGAATTAATTTGGGCTTGTCCGTCAATTCTGACGATGACCAATACAACCGCAGAGGGAAATACTTCTCCCGCGAAATAGAAGAGTTAGAAGAGTTAAAGATTAAGATGACTTTTGGCTTTGGCTGTGGCCCATGAGACCAATTCTGGCGTAGAAAATGTTTCCACATTTTGAACAGTTAAAAGCTCGACTTCCAATTGTTAATGTGCTCAGCTTGCGGAATTCTCTCTTGGCTTCAGCATTTCCTGTTCGTGAGGCCTCATGTTATGATTTGCTTCCCCTTGTGACTGTTGCTCTCTATCTGGGTCTGTCAGGAACAAAGTTTTCCTTCTCTGCAGTATTTAATGTTGAAGTCCTCCAGAGACATTTTCATGGTGTCTTTGTAGCGCTTTTTGGTTCCGTCAATCTTTCGTTTCCTTGAAAACAGTTCAGAATTGAACACTAGCTTTGGTATTTAATGCGTGCTCACGATTAGCTCAGCTGATAGGTTGTCGAACTATAGTGCAGATGACAACAATTCTAGTCTCCAACAGGGTTTTTTTAAATATGGATATTTTTTAGAAAAGGGAAAGGGGCGGGGGTGTGATTAAGTCGTCCCAACTCGTTTGTTTCATCTTTAATACAATCGGAGAGGAACGTTAAAGTCCGATTTCCTGTCTCCTGAACACAGTGAAACGGGACGTAAAATAATATTATGTGCTATACCTGGCCTGACTTGCTCGAAACGCATGATTGAACAGCCACTTCTGCTCTGCCTGCCATAGAGCTGAAAAGGTTGTCAATTCGTTTGTTTTCTCTCCGCTCCTTATTTCGTTTTTTTTTTCTTTGTCCCGGGAAGTGAGTGTGACGATAGTAAAAGGATATTAAATTTCCGGAACGGTATTCAATGCGGGGAATTTTCTTTTTGTGTTCTGTAGTATTTGTTTTTGATTCCTGTGTTGTGTTCTTTTTTCTTTGAGGGTGAGTAGGAAAGGGGGGAGGGGGTTCTGTTTAATGATTTTTCTGACGTTTGTACGATTGTGTGTACGAGCGTGAGTGTGTGGGTGTATTTTTGAGTGTTGTTGAGTTGATGTGTATGCGAGAGAAAGAGACAGAAGGG